TTTCTTTACTTCTTATTTTTGGTTTAATATGTAACATAATCCATTAATATATTTTGGACCTTTTGGATGCTTACTAAGCAATCATTTACCGAAATATACATCAGACATAGATCGATTTTCTCACTAAAAATACATGAATTTTCACGAATATAGTTTTATTTAATTAATTGCATTTTTTTTTCATAACTCTACATTTGTAGTTTATTAATTATGCTATAAATTGTTTGTTTCTTCTATATCAATAAATAACAACCTCACACATTAACACACGGCTGTCTGATCCCAAAGAGGTAGAGCCTGGTTTAGGATCAGACAGCCTAACCTACATACATATCTAGCCAATATACATTTTATACATTAAATACGTCCAGACATAGACAAATGATCGTGCTAATTACACAATTATTTGTCTTGGTTGGGAATCGGTCCCACAACCACTGGCTTAGTAGTCCGGGTCACTACCACGAACCAGAGGCTAGTCTAATATACTATTCTTATAATTCTAGCTATTTCATTAGCTGGCAAGAAATCGCTTTAAATGTAAGATCGTATTTGCCAACGTAGGCAAATAGTGCCAATGAAATGATCTCATAAAAAGTACTTCAATTGTTGTGACTTCTTACATTAAATCAGTGTGAATGAAAAGTTGACTTTATTAGGGTAGTTCCTACAGTCACTGCTACAGCTTTACATCCCTTGTATCTTCCGACACACCTCCATGTCACTCTTTCATTGTGACAGTAGTCTTTGTGGTACTTGTATCCACGGTGGATCATGATCGTTCCTCCCCGATTGCTTCTCGATAGTGAAAAATTACCGCCTCCTGAAATAAAGTTCTTTTACTGTATCACGATAAAGTGAATATTAGCCTTAATTAAATTAAAGTTAAAATACACCGTTTAAGTCGCATATGACGTTTTTTTCAAGTCACTGTTGAGTGTTGAAATACATACAAGCTTAACTGAATGCAATAGCGTAAGAATTAAAATGTTAATATTATGTTTTACTATGTGTGTGTGCATATATGTTATGCATGAGTGCGTGTAGGTCTGTGTCCATGTGTGTCCACTAAATAGTAACTAATATTTTCGAAGTCAACAAAGCATGTAGTTGTTCCTTTTTTTATTTCTAGTAAGTTATAGTTATATCCAATTTTTTAAGTCTTGTTTTTAAAATGTACAAATATGAAAAAAAAACCAATGAAAGTATTATTATTAAATATTTAAATAATAATACTTTCATTGACTTACAAGGAAAATTTCCTAGTCGAGAGATAGAAACACATTAGACTGTTTATGTTCTTTACGATAAAAATGCTTGTTCGTTAGGCGGCCAATATCTGACAGGCTTCTCGCGATTAGGTACTTTGAAGGCTAGATATAAGCCATTGGTACTGCCCTCAATCGTGTCATGTGACTTTAATCGGCTCGACTCCTGTACTTGTAGCCTTAATCCAATGACATGTTGGATGAATTTTACACAGAGTAACTAGTGTATCTCTTTTAAATCAGACATTACTCTTAACCCAGTTATTATGATCCATTAGTGGCATGTTTCTGATTTTTGTGATTGGTGTATCCCCAAGTATGGGCTTTGTACTAAGTTTTATCTTATTTTAATTGTTCTTGTTTATTGCACGTATGCGGGGTAGATTTCAGTAGTGTAGTTCCCACAGTGATCGCCATTGCTTTGCAACCTTTATGTCTTTTGATACATCGCCATGTAGACCTTTCCCCAGTGTTGTAATCTTGATGGTATTTGTAACCGCTGAGGATCATATTTAGAGCTCCTCGCTTAGTCGTCATAATCGTGACAGGACTGCGGTCTGAAACAAATACTTATTAATAACGGAGAGACAAGAAGTTAAAGTTAATGCTTTTGGACAGGATTACTTATTTAGGATAATGATTGAAGAAGTTGATATTGAATGTAAAGCATTTTTAATAGCTTTCAAGTAGGAATACATACAAACTTTGAAACAGTAAGTATCAACGATACAGACATTCTTTTCACAATCACTTAAAACAGTCATTTCTGGATTCATTCAAACATTGATATTCTTATTTACAAGTACAAATAAAAATAAATGATTTGTTTTTATATATTTTGCTCGTGGAAATGATTACAACTTAGAGCGATTAATTGTAATTGGAAAAGTAAAAGGGAAAAGGCCCAGAGGTCAGAGTCCCAAAAGATGGTCAGATCAGCTCTCTGAACAGCTGAAGATAGTAAAAAGTGTCGAAATTCACCAAGCTACTGATCGCAGCCGAGTCACGATTCTTACAATAAAATATGTGCATTTTTATACAAAATTGTTCGTCGTCTCGGTTTCGGTTTTCGCCGGTTTGGATAGCCAATTTGTTTTATTCGTTGATTCAGCTCGCTACACACTGAAATGCAGTGCTGTGAATGAGAGGCCACCTGTTTCTAATGTAGTCATGTAAACTGAGGGTTCTCTATTTGATGTTGAAGGTGGTTCTATAATAATAATAACCTCACACATCTCCCACACAGCAGCTGTCACTTTTATTTTAACATAAGATTAATTAGGGTTCCGTACCTCAAAATGTAAAAAAGGAACCCTTATACTCACTTTCTTGTCCGTCTGTCCGTGTGTCACCACCGATTTTCTCAGGAACGGGTAGACCTAGCAAGTTGAAATTTATACCAGGTACTGAGGCTCTATGGTGGTCCCTATTTGGTGTATAAAAATCAAGGTCCTGAGTCAACACGATAAAAAGATATGGGCAAATTTCGATTTTCGCGAAAACTTGTTAGTACCAAAACTTACCTTAATTTTCAACTTTTTTTATTTTTCAGAATTTTCTCTTTACTTGTGCTGTACGACCTTGCTTTTAACGAAAATTGACAATTTTAGGTCAACCGGAAGTACTCTACTCTTTGGGTCGAAAACCTATATGGTAGTTCCCGTTGACCTAGAATCACGAAACTTGGCAAAAAGAAACGTCTTACAGCACAAATAAAGAAATAATTCAAAAAAATAAAAACAGTTGAAAATTAAAACAAATTTTGGTACTTACAAATTTTCGCGAAAATCTACGTAAAATCTGAGTAGGTGCGGAACCCTCGGCGCACGAGTTCGACTCGTACCTGACCGGTTTTTTTTTTGAAACTCGTCTTATTTCCTGTCGATAAATTTTCATGGTGATTTTAATTATTTGAAAGTTACAGAGAGAGCGGCAATTAAAAGATTTTTTCATGATTTGACTCGCACGTTTAATTGGAAGCGATTGCATTTTGCTTATAATTTTCTGACTTTCCAAGTCCATTTCGATTTTTCGTCAAAATCTTTAATGTTCTTTTGGAGAATAAGCTGACATAGTTTTAGCAAGACCTTTACTGTTATTTCGGTTCTATCGATCACGATGTTTCTTTTTTAGCTATCTCATTGAAATCTTCTTAACTTGATTGCAAATATAACACATGCAGTTGGCGTGTGAAATGACCATTTTCATAATTGATTTTGCACACATAATTACGTGTTTGAGTTTGATAAAACATGTAAATTATTCATAAAAAAATAAAATAAAGGGGAGTATTATTCATTTGCTATGGATGCGCGACTAATTTCTTTTCCGGGGAGGGAATTTTACCAAAAAGTGAAAGCCTCCTGCCCCGACCATGTCAGTGCGTAAGTATGATGCCGGTCATTCTCGAATCACACATAAAATGTAACTTTTAGAAGGAATATTATTATGCTATGCTATGCTGTGAAGTTAGTTAAAATAAAACAAAAAAAAAGTTTTCAAAACAATATTTTTTAACAACAATAATCAACAAAGCATATTAAATAACATTGAACTACGATTTATTGTTGATGATCTGATAAATTATGAATGCTTTCATAACCATAATTTTCTACGATGATATGAATACACTTTATAAACTTATCTCTTCAGAATATTATGGTTCCGATGAGTGGTAATGATTTCAGAGCCATATGTGGTCGCAGATGCTCTACACCCATTGTCTTTTCTGATACATCTCCATGATATCCGCTCTTCGTGGCTATAGTTTTGACGATATTTATAACCATCATAAAACATAATTAATGCACCCCTTTTGCTTTTTCTTAGTATAAAATTATTGTCTGTAACAAAACATTATTATCACCAAAATATATGTTAAGTAAGTTGTAAACTGCCATACGAACCTCACGATATTATTAAAAGGTTTATCGAAAAGTGACGAAACGTTAAAAATCGGTTTATTTACCCTTTTTAGAACATCTTAGAGAGGCGGTGAATGGACAAATATGAATTCCATTTTAATATATGAATTTTTATTGAGGTATTGAAGATACCTTTAGCGAGATACATCATACATAAAATGTCGTTAATACTTTATTTCACTAACAATCGAATCGAAATAGATCAGTCGTTGTTGAAAAGTGAACCAACATTAACAATTCTAGTAATTCTTACATAGTCATATCTGCAGATTAGAAACTATGAAACGGAATTAACTATTGAATTGGAAATCAAACACGAATTTTAAAGATTGAAAAAAAAACTTCAGATATGTAAATTTAAGTCGGTAAGTATTTATTTAAATAAACTGAAATGCCTTAACTTCTAACAAGATAACACTAAAAAGGATGCCAACTATTGAACTATATTATCAGTATAAAATGTCACCTGGGTACAGCATCAAAAATAATATATATAATTCACTATATTAACAACGTTTACAAAATTGGTGTTTGTGATTTGTATACATACATATATTTCGATATAATCCATTCATGTAACAACTAACAGGGCACTTATTCAGTTTCATTTACAGTACCTACATATACAGTAAAACATTTTGAACAGTTAATTATAACTTTTAGTCAGAGAGAAATCAATTTTCTTAATTATATCTCAGTAAGCATGTCAATGCCCTGACATTGTCCTAATAAAGATTAATTCTACAATTATAACATATTTTCTACACATGCAATAAATTATCGATATAGAAGAAAAATAAGCCCTATATTATTTTACCTCACTATCATTTTCAATTGTTTTTTCTTCAGGAACTTGATTGATTGGCTTTTCATCAGCTGACTTATCCTCAAATGTGTTATCAGCAACCGAGGTGTGGCCAACAAGGGCTTTGTCAGACGGATTTTGTTCGCTTGGATTGTCAACAACTTCATTGCCGTTATCTGGTTTAGATTCAATTTGGGGATTATTGTGCTCTGATATTAGGGGATTGGTATTTGGTTCTTCTTTATTATTATCTGATTGACCACAACTTTGTTGACTTAAGCCGGACACGAAGGTGGACCAACTGTCAGGCTGGTCTAAGTCTGTTACATTAACGTAATGACTTTCGTCACTTTCATCTTGATTCGATTTTAACTCCTCAGCACTATTGGTGGTTGAGTGTACAGGTGGCACAGCATGGAACGGCGACAATCTCAAGCTACTTAGAGGATCGCCGATAGCTATGTCAGTATTTAATGGATCGCATGTGTTATTATCTACATCAGACTGAATATTTGCGTGAGGTTGTATTTCAGAGGAGAGCGATGAGAAATGAAAGTTGTCAACTATAAAATTGTCCAAAATACTGTTTTGTTGGCCTTGTTTAGCTTTTTCTAGCTCCAGTTCTTCACCGTCTGAAAGAATTTCAATTGGAGCATCGTCTCTCACTACCTCAATTACATCATCGTCAGACATGTTATCCACTTCTATTTCAGATGCAACGTCATTTATGTTCAAATTCTCGATGCCTTTTACTGGACCTGTTAAAATAATAGATAATTAAAAAAAGTTTTTGCACCTACATAAATAATGCTTGCATGCATATACTACGAGTATAAAAATAATGACAGTTTATAGAGATTTTCTAAAACTTAAAAAAATAGGGAGTTTTCATAACTGCATGCACAAAAATAAAAAAGTGCTTAAAAGATATTTTATTAAACAAAGAGAACAATATAAAATTAACAATTGTTCATGACGTTGATAAGTCAACTGCAGTTTATGCTTCGTTGTATTACATACGTACATAATGAAACCCAAGGGTTTAACGGAAATTAAGTTAAACATATTTTAAATTCTAATTCCTTAAGATTTTAAGTAAAAAAGCAAAATGATGCAAAAACTAAACTGTGAAGCTGTAGGTAACAGTAGGTACATTTTATCGATGTTTATTTGTTAAAACAAAACTTGTGTAACCGAAACAATTCTAACTTTAGCATTATTTTTTCATACTTTTGAATTTGTTGTCCATTGTTTACAGTTTAAGTAATAGTTTCGTTTAATTTCTTTCTTCAATATTGAAAGTACCATCTATTCATAACAATGACCGTAGGTCGTAGGTAGGTTAGATACATAACTAGATCGCGAGATGAGAAGATAAGGTTAATAAGTTTAAAAAGTTGGTTCCTTATATTAATTACTCTTGTTATAAAGAATTTTCATGCTTCGAAATGCATGCATAAACTTAGTGCAGTTTTTTACACATTCTTTTATTTACGGGCACCGTTTTGAGGTTGTTAAAATATTATGTATTGATACTTATACCCATTCTAGTATTTTATTGAACAAACTATCAGCTATTGGGAAAGGCGATCTTTATTAAATAAGTGAAGTAAGGAGGCAGTAAGGAAAAGGAGAATCTGTTAAATTCGTTAGCGTACATAAGTGAGCATGTAAAAATGCTCGTTTAACATATTTACAGCCTTATTCTATGCTACATACTTTTACTATAGCTATGCTCAGTAAGTACAAATGTACATAACAGAATGTGTATGTGTATATACACAGCGAGTGCAGGATATAAAGTATCATGTACATATACATGTAAGGATATCTCTTAACCGAAGTATCAACGGTCAAAATTTATACAGGTCCCATTTACTATCTAAAGTCAAGAATACAATATAAAAATCCATAAAAATATTTGATTCATGCGATAAAATTTTTTACTCTAAAAGTAAATTGAAATAATTAAAATTCTCGTCACTATATCTGCAGCTTAAATGAAATAATATACTCTTTTCCACTAATGAAATGTCCACTAAGGGTCGGAACTTATCTGATACACATCGATTAAATAATTACAAGACAACAAAACATTAACAAGAAGATTAAAGGAAAAAAATTATAATAAATCACTAAATCTGAGTGACAAAAATAACTACCTACTATTTCATGTATGATAGTCAATTAAATGTATTTTTTGTACAAACACACTTATATTGTAAGAGAAACTATAGGTTGATTATCATACATATATATACATCATATATATTGCAATGCAATTGCAAATCGTCTCAAAACGACAAAATTGATTTGTACATTTCAGTCAAAAAAAAGGTTTAAAGGGAGAACGGCAGTTCTGGTAATATGTCCAATCTAAGGTATATGAAAGGAGGAAGGGTAGGTTATGAAAGGATCCTTATTTAAAAACGAACTTTAAAAACAAAAATTGATCAAGAAGGTTTTGACGCAACTAACTGCATTTTCGCTACTATACGAGTTATGCTTTGACTGCTTTTGGACCAATGGCCACCGATTAAAATGTCAAGATTCATTAAACTAATAATTCACAGACTAAGAAATGTTTGGAAATAAATCAATAGTGCAGTAACTAATAACTAACCACTAAATAAGAACTTAACACATTTCACACACGGCAGTCTGATCCCAAACTATGAAAGAAAAGTGTTCGGGTTGGGTTGTACTAAAGCAGCCAGAGAGGGGTTGCCCTTACTCGAAAGAGACGGTGAGAGACGCTAAACTTTGAAAGAAGAAAGAGGATAAAACTGCCAATGGTGCTATCACTGACTGCACGGATGGTTTTTGATCCCCACATGGAACAACACTGTGTGATTCACAATATTGTTCGAATTCTAGGTGTTATTGGTTTGTAAAGTCCCTCGCAACGCACGATATATTCGAAGTGCGGGGTTGCCTTTTTACAATGAAACAAAAAAAAATAGACAAACAGACAGACACGACATTCGGTGTCAAACAAACTATGTTCTGAAAATGGTCTTAGTAACTGTCTTAATTATTTTAGCAGCTACATGTGAGTATGTTGATTTGAAACCAACATTCTACCATTAATAATCCTAACTTTACATTTACACCGATAGGTGGCTCTTTTAGAACATCGCCAGTAACTTCTCATCTCGTTTCCATATTCCCTGTGAAACCTGTGACCATTGAGAATTAACACTTGACCTCCCTTCACTGTGGAATATATGTGACCTGGCGAAGCTGTGTTATTCAAGTCTGAAACCAAAATGAAAAAATTTCCATCATTTTATGGTGTAAAGAAACCTTACATTGCTATTGCAAAACTATACATGTAATCTTCTTAGACGTCAGCATTTTAATTGCCTATAAGTAAATGTTACCATCGCCTTGCTTTTGTCCTTGCTGAACTACTGTTACCGAGGTAAAACTTATGTATTTGTAAATCGGCAGCACCAGGTAAAAAAAGTTTACGACACTCCGAAAAACTTTTTTTTCCCTCAAGATCACAACCAATGTCTATATTGAGGTTCTTAATGTTACTTACGTCACTTACCCCTTCAGTTAAGTGATTTCGATTTAGGTAAAGTGCTGTCCTACTTCTCTTTATCAGTTTTTGTTGGTCAACAAGGTTGTATGTGATTTCTTGTAATCAAGGGTTCCTGCATGTCGATGCAGTCTTCATTTAAGCCTTTCAACATACCTAATAACATGTAAGAGGGTATCATTATACCTACTTCATTACTTTATATATTTCCATTATTAATTTTTGTATTAGTTAAAGAAACGTAAAATTACATATCTAATTCTTTAGTAAAATCGGAAAATTACTAATTAAAACCTGGAGCCGCTTGAAGAACCTGGAGCCACCGACTGCAGAAGTACGTATTTTAAGTTCCAATCCTGCTTGACAGGCTCTCATGGTTGTGACAAGTATCATTTAACAATTTATTCTTTTTGTCTTCGCATTTGTTAACATTTTTAGAGCCAAATCTTAATATTGAGTTGAGATTACAATGGTAGTCTATAAGAACAAAGATCACTTTAATAACTTACACCAAATATCACTTCACACATGCATTTATTAAAATATATGACTGGAAATATTCAGGAAGATAAACTATTGTAACTTAAGAAGCATTTATCTAAATTTTATAAACTAGATTAAATTGAAATGGACCCGGCATAAAGAACACTGCTTTGTGTGAATGGAGTAAGAGAAGATAAGAATGCAATGCATCCCAGTAAAATAACCATAACCATAAGATATAAGATAACCATAAGATCTCATTTTCATTTCAAACAAACCATTATTTTCCAGAGCGAACCCACAGTACATGACTTCTTAGTAAAGGTCTTGGTCACCGTCTTCCTGTTGCAAATATAAGCAAAGTAACTCTAATGTGTATGATGACCTATAAAACCGAGAATTTGTTCGCCCATGGTGTGGACTTTAGCCTTACACGGTGGGTTCCCATAGTATGAAGTGCAATACCAGGTCACTTTGTCACCCGCTGTCCAACTCTTTCTGTTATAACTGTATTTTCCTATGTGCATTATCACACCACCGCGTTGGGATTCCGAGAAATGGATGGCTTCTGTGAATAGAGCAGTTAGTTAAGTTTGCTAAGAAATATTGACGATTCAATAAGTGACAGATATTCATAATTACCAAGCTTACATGGTTATTATTTTCACAGTACAGTTTCAGAAGGTCCATTTTATTTTTGAACTTATCGAGCACCCGTAATGACGGGGCGAAAGCTGTGTGAGGCCATATGGGTATATCGTTCAAAGTTAATGCTCGTATTTAAATATAATATTTTTATTATCTGGATCTTTGTACATGACATGATAATGTTATATGACGAAGGCATTGGGCAGACAATTGTTCTGGGCTCAATGCCACTTCTTGTACACCCTACCAAGTTAAAAGGGCCACGAGCAGGCCACATACAAAGACAACCAACGAATGTGGCAATGTGGTCTGTGCCTGACGTCTTTCTATAAGCAGCATCTACTACCTGAGTAAAGTTAGCTAGGAGACATTAGATAAAATTAGGACGAACCTTGATGATGGTTTATGTGAGGCATATATTAAGGTTTACAGTTTACCGGACAATATAGACGAAAAAACAGTTGTGAAAAAGACAACATAGATTTAATTTCTAAAATGCGATATTAATTAACAAGGTTAAAATATGATTGTAGGCGTAACAAATTCCATTTCAATGCGGCCGGATGATTGTGATCATTATTTATATTGACGATCTCATCTTCTATTGTGTGAACTTTGGCAGTACATCCCGCATGGGTCGCACATTTCCAGGTCTTTTTGATGTGATGTAAGCAGTAAGTCCTGCAGATAAATGAATAGCCATCCACAATGAGGTGCCGAGTCCCCCTGGCTGAAGTTCTAAAGAATACTGAAAAACAGATTTTTTCAATATTGTTTTTCAGATATTATAAAAAAAAAGAATATTTAATTTTAAATGACTTATTGAATTTAAAGACATCGAAGAGAAAAAAATAACAAAATACGTTTATTCTGGCACAACTAAATTAGACGCTTACAGAACGACATTTATTACCTAACTTAGATTTCTAAACATACTGCTGAGTTTTAAGAAATATAGCTAGAAGTAAACATTCCGAGGTCGCAGCAAAATGGCAGCCCAACTCAACATTGTGCAGTTTGTGTCCACTAGTGGGTGCATGACGCTTCCCTTTTGTGTGTGTATGTGTGTGTGTGTTTTAGCGTATTTGTATGTGTGTACACATACACAATGAATATATTGTATATATATTTTTTGGAAGTACTTTAACTATAAATAATTGAACATATCGTTTTTGAACAAATAACGATTAGTTCATTATTTTTTTTAGGTTTATGATGAACCTTCTTAAATGATTTTTAAACATTTAACACTTGGTTTTATTTTGATATTGTTTGATGGTATATTAATGTGTATGGTACACTACTAACTTTAATCCAAGATACATTTAATCATTAATTTTAACCCATAATCCGTTTTTAGAGACCATGTACTTCGGGGGATCATGATTATGTTCAATTAGTAGACTGTTTTCGCAAACGTTGTTATCATTAGTGTAGACCGTCGCCTTGCAACTCTTACTCCTGGCAGAGCAATGCCAAAGCACCTTCCCTGTGAATTTAACAGACTGCCTCTGCCTCTTATACGTATACTTGTTGTACATTAAGAGTGGATATTTCCTGCCTGGTATGAAGTGGACTGAAAAAATTTGCATAACATTATAGATCACACTCCGGCGTAGTAAAAAGGTGTAATCTCATAAGATATGCTATTTATTTACGTCTATTATATTTTACAGATTCCAAATTGTTTTGACATTTGTTTTTTTTATTTAAATTAATGTTATATTTTGTGTCAGCATTCTTTTTTGAGTACCCTGAATATAAGAATATTTTAGTTTTGTATCATTGTTTATAGTGAGAATTTGATACTAGTTCTAGACTAGTATTAATAACAAGATAACGACCCCAAATATTCTATATCTCTCAATATTGCCCTGCAAGTAAGCAAGGGGAAAGAATAATTAATATGAACATCGATAACTACTATGAATAATATCATCAGTGTGATGATTAAGAATAGGGAGTGTCACAAACCCTATTCAACCCGTGGGTATCGAAAGAGTGGATTAAGGGAGCAAACTACGCAGGACAACAGCACTGCAAAGAGAAGGAAAACTGGAAACAAACCCTGTACAAACTCGTGGACTATAAAAGGCTGTTGATGATAAATACGTTTAATCTGCTTATCTATCTATGTAGATAGATAGTGTAAGTAATGAAAAATTGTATGAACTACAAAAATAACTTTGCAGTGACATATTTAGTATATAGGATTATAATTATATTTATGAGTTTGCACTCGTATATAAAAAACGAGATTTAAATTGCGGTATGTTTAACTTTTTTGTCTTTACTTTATAGACCAAACACATATTGTTTCCAAAATTTAAAGATTCTGTATGTGAGTTGCTCAGTGACAAAATTAAAGTACTTACGTACGTAAACTCGATAATGAAGGGACAGGGGGTCAAAAATGCCATGAATGGCTTTGAAGAAAAATCTAATACCGTGTCTTTTTTTTTTCCTCGACTTGGAGCAGGACCTGAGGTGTAATATCTCTTTATCATCTGGAAGTTTTTTAAATATAATTAATGTTGCCATCCTTTATTTTTACTTCGCATATTTACCTAAAACACATTGTTTTAAAATTACAGATCGACAAACATAACCCTCCCTGAAAAGAAATCCCCAGTACGCCAACGAACCCTGCCCCATCTACAGCTTACAAATGGCCCCTCGTGAGTACGGTATTCCCTTTCTGCTCTGAAAGGGTGCGCGAGCTAAGGAGCGTATCGCGCCGCTAACCCGACCTGTTTCTGGGAGAGGTGGTTTCACCTGTCAGGCCCGAGCCTGCGTTTAAAAAAGAAAAAAAAAATTGTTTCATATTTTATTAAAGAGGATTATAAACACTATTGGTCCTTAAGTTTACAGAACAATGATTCATTAACAATGAACACATAAAAACAAACGTTTATTAACAATAAAATTATTCTTTGGGAAAAACCCATCGCCCGGTTTTCGTTCTTCTCTGGGGAGGTGCGTGGTTGTGCATGTCTCGTAGCTCCATTTCGCTGTCGTATACATGGCAGGTGGCTTTACAACCCTTATGTATCATCACACATCGCCATAAGATCTTACCACATCGTAGTTCTCTGACTCGCTTGTACACTTGCTTTTTAATAACCATTATGGGATATTTCTTACCAGTTGACAAATATTTGATTTCTGAAAGATAATAAGTGCAATAAGCGGATTTAATTTGTTGAAGTGTTGAGCGAAATTCTCAATATTTTGCCCTACTATAGAAATTTTAACTTTTTTGTTTAACAGCTTACATGGCTTGCTTCTGTAAAAACATTCCTAGCTCCTTTCAGACTTAGCTAAAATAATATTTATGGGCCTTTTAAATATAGTTTATTGCTTTTGTATGCATTAAACTAAAAAAAACATGTATGTACATCGGATTCTACTTACAAAATCTATATGAAGACAGTCAGTCAATTAAAAAAGAAACATTCGGCATCCATACTAAATAAAACTATGTAAATGAAAAAAAAATAACCAAAAAGTTTCAAGACCTATATTTTGGACGCAATGATGTCGATTGAGCTTTTTTAAGTTTTAAATAATTATACAGAGATAATCACAGTTTAGCTAATACTAAACAATAAAAATTAAAAATGAATTAAGCATTGGCGCTATTTTAATAAAAACGTTTTAGTATGTGCTGTTGTTGCAGATTTGGATATAAAATTAACTATAGTAAATAACTTTGTTTTAATATATTACTGCATAGATAATACAATAATACATATACATTTGTACATAATTATGTCATGTACCAGAAGCCCAAAATCGATCTAAGTGGCGTGCAATTGGAGAGGCCTATGTCCAGCAGTGGACTGCGATAGGCTGATGATGACTTATTAAAGAAATATTTTACAAGTCGTTAAAGAGTGTTGACTTGATACAAACTTGCTAGTTCTAAATCGTCTGCTTGTTATTTTTACTGTTTATTCGAATTACAATAAAAAAAGGGCAAAATAATTTTGAAGGTTAGTTCAAAAGATTAAAATTGGTAGATGTAAACATTAGGTGCGTATATTATGGACGCACATTCAAAAAACATTTTTATTCATTAATAATTAAAAAAAAGTGAAAATATTTAAACGTAAGTTAGCGGTATTATTGGACTTTCAAAAACAGTTTAGGCCTAAAGAACAATATAAAATACTCGCAATGCCTTTATTCTAAATTTAAACTATTATTTCCTTTTACATTTTGAAATTTTACCTTTTCTGATTTTTTTTCTTCTATTTTCTATTCTATATTAAAGTAGGTAAAATTAAAATTACCCACAAAAAAATAAAACAGAAATTTTCTAATTCTTTGACAAGTCTCTTTTTAAATAGCGGCCCATTTTACTTGTCTCGGATTATGACAGTGCATTTCGTAAGCCGATATGATCTTATCCATTTGATCAGGTAACGTTCTGACAAAGGCCTTGCAGCCAGTCCTGGTTCTTCTCGAACAATGCCAAAGAACTCCTGACGATGACCTCACCTTGAATGCAAATGTGTGAGTCTTATACAGCAGGAGGGGATGCTTTCCCTTGCCTGACGGTATAAGAACTGCTGAAAATTAAGAAATAGTTCAGAGGATAAGTTTTGTTAAGAATTCCTTCGTGCGTCGGTTTGCCTAATGTATACCAAAGTAGCTGTGTAAAATCTCTAAAATTACCATTATCTTGTAACATATATTTGTGTGTTAGATTCTTCTGGGAAAAGAGCAGCTTACGAAACCTGTATCAACAAAATTGACGTATTTAAGGTGTTGGAATTAATGTTTTTTATAAATCAAAGTCATAACTGACTGACTGAAATAGATCTTTAGCGAGGAAGTAGCAAAATAAGACAAACTATAATTTCAAAAATCATTGTACATTTGATTTTCAAAGCTTTTAATATCTTCATTTCGATGAAAACTACATTTCATTAAATATTAACGATATCATTACTATAAAATTACAGTTACCATGCAATTTAATATAACGAACATAAATAGACGTAAATGGTCTTAACAGTAGGTATGTACTAGGAACCATTATGAGGCAAAATACACGGAAATATCAACCGACGAATGATTACATTAAATAACTGAGAAAGTAATAAACTATACCTTAAACTACTTTATGTTATAACTCATAATTAAATGGCAGCCTTAACAATGATTGTAGGGTACACCTCTATTTAAAGTTAAATAAAAGTCTTTGTTTCAATAGTAAATAGGGCAACAAAACCATATACTCAAATGACCTGAGGGGGTCTACTGTAATCTGATAAGCATGTAATTTAATGTATTGTAATGAAAAAATAAGTTTCAAAAACTTCATCATCAACAGTCTCCTGCTGGGTGTAGGCCTCTCCTTAGACAGGGAGGTTTTCGCCTACTATACCACGCTGGCCCGACGGGTTGGTATAGGTTTGTTTTAAGTTTTCCTTCTCTTTGCAGTGCTGTTGTTCTACAGAGTTAGCTCCCTTAGGCGGCTCTTACGACACCCCCGTGATGAATAGGGGTGGTGATACTCCGTATTCTTAATCCGTCACCACATCCGTTTGGTGATCCAAAAATATACTTAATAACTTAAACAAGATTGAAATAGTTGGCGATATTGCTGTACTCTTAGCGTATGTTTGTAAATCGAATATTTTGAATGGTGAATTTTTTTTTTTTTAATAATTTTAGCCATTTTGTCGTTGTATACGATGTAGGGTAGCGTACGCATCATAGTATTATAATTATTTTAATACTAACAGAATTACGTGCTGTTTAATAGGAACAATTATATATTTTTATTTATTATTTTATATTTCTAAACAAATCCTGGATTTTGAATAGTATTTATATCATTGTATTTATAATTTAAAACAACTCATGATAGCAATTTAATCTTTAATGCTCTAGATTATACTCGAGTTTATGTTCACTACCGTGCCTTATATGTGCTAGGGTCATTTTTTATATAGATGAAATGTATGTATATGGAATATTAAGGCCAAGCGACAAAAATATTTACAGGTTAGAATTTAAATTCTTAGTGTTACTTTAATATTAAACTAATTAATCACAAGGAAACAGAGGCAAGAAATCACGTTTTACAGGTTATTAAACAAATAATCGTTAATACTGACAATCGATAATGAAAAGACGAAGCCTATTAGATGTTATTGCTAAACTGCATAGAATAACTAATGAATTAATGTTGCATTAGGGTTTTTTTTGAATAAAGGTTAGCTTTATATTTTTACGTTCAACCTTTGTGAGGTAATTCATTCAGACAGACATGTGACAATCTGGTAAGTTATAACTGTCAGTCGCTAAGGCAAGACAGCAGTGACTGCACGGATGGCATAGTGGTTTAAGCGGTCACCACGCTGCTTCGACGACGACGACACTGTATGATCCACAAATCGTTGTTCTGAGCCTGGGTGTTCGTTGTGTCCGTTTCATGTATGTTTGTAAAGTCCCCCGCGACACAGGATATATGCACCTCATGCAATATGCAAAGCCTGCAGTTGTCTTTTGTTGTAATAATCATGAATGTCATGGACTGTACTTGATATTTTTAAGTTTACTTTACTTATTTATATTTATTTACTTTACATAACTTTAAATAAACATTTTATTACCTCAATTTGATTTAGTAGCCGATTTTTGATTTATTTGATGTACTGTTACGATCTCCTGTAAAATCATTTCGTCTCTACCCTGCATCACCAATCTACAGTAGCTGTATAGTAAATACGTTGTTCGTTTTTACTTTGTAATAGCTGGTAACCGCGACTTCGTTCGCGTGGAATTTGAAAAGCGCTGCCTCAGAGGTGTAGTACGGTACGTGACCTAGCAGTCCCTGAGGCCTCGGGTTCGATTCCCGGACCGGGCAAAATTGTAAAGGGTTTTTTTGAGAGGAAAATTAGCCTAAGTTACTCCTTTTATAGGCAGCTACCCATAAAACACTATAAAAATCAGTTCAGCCGTTTTGAAGATTACTCGGAACAAACAGACAGACAAAAAATATATAAACTGGTTCTTAGGCATAGGTATCGTGCAAATAGCCATGTGAGCATGAATAAAACCTATTATTTTGACATTACAAACAGACACTTAAATTTTATTTATTTGTTTAGATATGTACCATTTAGATACAGCAATGGTAGTTTTGAATCGTTTCTTCATATACTTATGTACACGGGAATTTATTGTTTAGCTTGGCGCCACGTCTGAAGCTCAATTCTCGTATAAAAAATCGTTCAAAATTCAGTGCCGAACTACTGACTAACTACTAACCATCTCAAAAAATGTCCTAAAAGGTATTCTCGTTGTAAAGTATTAAACTTCCAACGTGGACTGTAATGTGATTGTATAGTATTATGAGTATTACGAGAATACCTTTAGAATTGACTTTCTGGTCCAAACGTCATACAACTCAAAGCTAGGTATACATGTATTAACCTGTTATCTGTAAAAGTTATCCTACATCATATGGAGTTCATCCTACATATTCAAGAAACTACCGAACATTCTATCCATTACTAAAACAAGTATTCCCTGGCTAATACTACGTCGGTAATAAGTCTACAAAAATACTCGTATTATGATATCTTTTGGCGATTTAGGTAGAACATCTTTTTTTTTTTGCTTTTTAAAGAGATTAAAACAAACGAAACACACTATCAAACTCATCGCGATCAATAGTTTTCGTATCGTAGACTTTTAGCGTATTTTTATAGTTTCTTTGTGGCAAGTACAGACTATACTCATTTAAGATACCATTCAAAACAAGGATTCAATTATACTAATATACTATGAGTATATAATAGTGACTTTTGGCTCCTTTTGGCTGAACATCTGAACAGTTTATTAATACGTATTGATTCCTATGCTATATCTAGAGGAAACGGCAAAGTATTATATTGTTTTTCTACAACATTGTCGGGTAATTTAGGGGGCGGGTGATCATGGGGCTTATGAGTGTACGCTCTTGTACCAAAACTAATTGCGGAAGCCCTACACCCTTTCAATCTTCGAGAACAATACCATGATATTCTCCCATCTGCGTTCTGTTTCTGGTAGCTGTACGTATATCCACCGAGGAGGAGTAGAGGATGTTTTCCACCTCTTTTTGTCCAAAGAAATGTGCCTGTGAAAAAGTATGACGTGAGTATCTCTAAATTTTTTAAATTGCTTTAATTCGTGCATTAAGAAGGGTTTATTAACAATTTGTTCAAAGACTGTTTCATTCTTATAAACATGTATTAAACGCTTAAATAGCAAACACAATATATTATACTTACAACAGTTTAAAACAAAGTATATTTAATAGAAATTAAAAATTCTGCAGTTTTACTGCCAACTGAGGAACAATCTTTCATAAATTTTATGATATTCTATAGTTTCTTTCATAATATGTACTTTCGACATAATAACATTTTAGTAAAATATTTATTAAGGCACTAGTTCAGTCGTTTCACATAACCATTATAAAAATAATAACAAAACAGAGATTAACAGACAACGATAATTAACAGATCGGATTGCTTTGGTTTTCTTAAAATAAATTGTTACATTTAAAGCTACGCACGGTCGACTGGTCGCCGGAGCCTTGGTCTCCCAGCTCTCTCCCCTAGAAAACCAGGATGGAGAACAAGCCGAACGACTGAATTTAAAGTTGTTTTTTTATACAGTCGTGTACAATGGACATTAAAGAAGCTGAACAGTAGCGTAACTAATTATAAAGAGAAAAAGATAAGAAAAATGCAAGGGTTTTGGATACATCAACTAATAAACCACTTTTTGGAATTGTATTTCCAATAAGAATTTGCAAGGCCTGAGCTATTTTTGTTCGTGACGTCTCCGATCGTCTGGACAGTTGTGAATGTGAAAGCCACCATTTGTAACCATGCTCCTAGTGGTAGCCGGCGCTTAGCGAATGCTGAGCGAATTTCGCTTGTGAGTCGCCACTGCGACCGAGTCACCCGGTCGCCCAGCGATCAAGTACGTAAACACTTATTTAAACTAAAGAAAATCAGAAGAAAGAAGACCAGTCGACAATGGCCCTAAATTGCTTAAATTTAAATAAAAAAGTTGTAAAAACTCAATATGCTCTAACTAAGACATTATTCCTCGTCACGAACCTTGGCTTTGTGTGGTTATGAGTACCTGAATAATCAAGCACTTCATACTGCTTGCTGGTGAACAGTTTCGCCGTGCATCTCTTGGCTGTGCCTGGCTGCACCATGGTACATCGCCACTTTGCTATATCATTCTTGTTACTTTGCAAGCTGTAGGAGTAACTCTTGAAGACTAGAAGAATTCCTCCTCTTTGAGATCGAGCAAAAGTTACTGAAAATTATTGGGGGAATTACCACTGAACTCTACTATGCCCCTGAAGTGTTCGCAAAGGGATTTCTAATAACATGCCTGTGATTGCCACACCATAAAAACTGTCATCGTAGATATGTAGAGTATTTATTAATTATTTGAAAACGAAATGCTTCGTACAAGCAGCGAGTAAAGTTAAATAAGTAATATCAAAATTAAGTGAAAATTAAAGCCATCCCTCATTTTGGTCTCCTTCAAAGAAAAAATGATAAAACTGAAGATGAAATCGGATGAAATTTCGGACGATTATAACAAAATTAGGATCCGTTTAAATTAAATCCGTTTCAAACTATGAATTCGGATAATAATAGTTTCGGTGTACAGAAGAAAATAATTTTATTTTTAATTGAATTGTACATATTTTATTTTAAAACACATTTAAAAGTTAACTAGGTATATAAAAATATAATTTTAGGTGAGAACAACATGACGGACAACACCGTTCGAGAAATAATTTAAACATTTAAAATTTGTAAACTTAGCATTAAAAGGTACTTTCACTATTTATATGTAAATAATTATCTTATTTAATGGAAAACATTAATTGTATTTAGGTGAGAGCCTAGCTGTTCCCTACACTTTAACTGGAAGATGTATGTTACTTCATCCAAATTTGATATGCAATGTAAAACTAACGAACCAATTTTAGTAACCAATGACGGTGTTAAAAACCATTTCTTTTTAATTATTTGTAATCATAAATTCACTCTGTAATCCATCCGTATAAGCGCCTGCTATCTAGAAATTAGGTATATTTAAGCAAAGGATGTATTTATAAAGATTGTCAAAAATCCGTCTGTAGATCATGGGGCAATTGATTTTTAATTGTCTTTCCTTTTTGTAGATACAGTATGAATGATAATGACGATAATTTGTTGACAAAGATTTCATATCCAATTTGTCTCAAGTATACTGATGCATTCTGAGTCATTTTGATTCCGACTGCATAATTTTGGCACACATATTTAGTCTTTTTGACCAAGGGTATTATGTTTACTAATCCTGAGATCGCTTCCTCGAGATGGGAATTTTAGAATTTGACAAACCAAATCAGTGTCTTGGCAATTACGACAAAGTTTTTAATTTTAATATAATTCAAATTTAAAAACCGGATGAAATCACAAAACATTATATTATTTAAATTATCCTAATCGTTTTTAGATTCACCGTCATTTTTCGATTCATCAACTTTTAAATTGCTAACTTCTATCTCAACTTTTATCAGCGAGTCAGACGTTTTCTCTTGTTGGTTACCTGATCTCATACGAGAACAATTACGGTGTTTGCTAATCTCGTGATTGTGTTCATTGTTCATTTCCTTAACAACGAGATGTTCACCATTTTTGCTAACCCCAATTTTGATAAATGCTAAACATTTGTTTTTAACGACTTGAGTTATTTTACATTCAGAACTTTTTGAATTCCTACCTCCATGTGTGCACGTATATTTTAAATTGTAATACTTTAAACGTTCCTTGATAGGCTTTTTAATACCCTTTTTCCTGGATTGTTCAATGGTAACAGAATCTCTTCGATAAAATACACAGTTAGTTGTCTCTTGATATTTATCAACTCTCCTTTTTAAGTGTTTAAATGATTTAAATTTATCACCAACACGTATCATGTTATCTTCTTTCTCACGGCCTTCATCTTCATCATCATCTGATGATTGGTGTAGATCTTTCTTATCGATTAGAAAATATTCGTATTCGCTGTCAGCGTCGTGCGAGGAATTATCTGAAAAGTAAGAAATGACAATTAATATACTTAGTCTCTGTATGCATAACACGTTATTCATATTTCCTATTTTTAAAAACAACGTAAAGGTTACCCAAATTATCATTATCTTATGTAGAGTTTTATGACCGCGAGGAGGCGATGTCCGCGTAAAAAAATGTCGAGTTTTATGAACTAGATAAATTTAAGATAAGATAATTTCTTAATAAGAGGCTCAAATGGCTGAATACCATACGTGTTACCTTCCTTATACCTACTAAAATTGTGAAACGAAATCTGCTTTTTTTGAGAGGTTTCAATCACCTTTTTTTTTTTTTTTTTTCCGTGCGGAATACTCGGATACCACCTGTCGGTGGCATGTCGGACCCAAACCGACTAAAACCGCACGCCGTCTCGGGTACTAATAGCCGGGGAACCAGGTATACTATAGAAAGGAAGTCCCTGGTGCCCCGACATACCTCGGGTCATCTACAGACGAGTAGACGACCCCCCCGTGTGGGAACCCCATGTTCCCTAGGTTTCAATCATACGTGTTACCTTCCTTATACCTACTAAAATTGTGAAACGAAATCTGCTTTGTTTCGACAGGTTTCAATCACCTGTCGAAATTGGTTGTATTTGTCGAGCGTCTCATAAAATTATCTGTTTAGGTCATTACTATATTAGAATGTTTGTAGTATTTTTACATAAACTTTAAGGAATTATCTATAACTGAAGTGATTTCAGGACATATTAATGCATAGCTAGAAACAATGTTATTAAAAATAAAACCAATAAAATCTTGATTAAAATAATGTAAATCACAAATGTATATTTATGTCAAAAAATTTACGAATATATATTTAATAAGTTTTCACTTAGAACCGCCATGATTTTATAGTAGGATGGCGGTTCTTAACTAAAACAAGAGTAAACTAACTAAACTTTAACTAACCTACCTTATATCTGTGTTAACATAGCTTTTAAAAATCAGATCATCAGGTAACAAAGACAAGAAGGTATAGTTTATACTATTCAAATTTTAATACTTCATTTTAACAAGGAATAACTAAAAATATAAGTATTACCAAAGTAATTTGGGGCAATATTTGTTTTAACCAAAAAAAAAAAACTAATAAGCAATTCAAGGGCAGGTTAGATAACATGACCATGTTTAATTTCTTAATTATGTTTTCACTAATTCATACACGTATATGTCTGTTAAAGCGGTAAAAATAGCCAATGTCCTTTCTCAAAAATCAAAGTATTTCCAGGACAAATTACATTATAATCGGTTCAGAGGTTTGTCCATAAAAGCGGAACGTACAGACAGAGTTACTTTATTTCCATTTTACTAGTTAGTGTACTCTAAAATATATGCCGTTAGTAGACTTATGATACTGTGGTCGTTGGTGGTTGTGATCACTAACACTCTTCACGAACCTGCCGTCGATTGTCAGATAGAGCCTGGCCTTGCACCCTTGAGTACAGCGGTATCTGAGTTCAGTTCGGGCCGGAGACGGGTATACAGGCGCGCCATAAGTGTATCCTTTCCACATCTTAAATGTCTTGCCATTACTCAAACGTATATCTATCACTGAAATAGAGAAATGTTTATAAATAATAGAACAATAGAATTTTAATCAGGGCGATAGAAGAAATATAAATGTACTATTTAAAAATGTACTTGTTTTTTTTTGTTTTAAGACATCTCCCGCATTAGGAATATATCCATCGCCGGGGAAAGTCCCCAGCGATAATAGGAGGATACAAACATACATAACAAAAGAAACATACATAAAACGGACACAAAGAACACCTAGACTCTGTGAACAACACTTTGTGGATTACACAAAGTGTCGTCCTATGTGGGGATCGGACCACAGATGATCGGACCTTCAACACTCGGGGTAGTAGTAAGCGGCAACCACTACGCCATCCGTGCATTCAATATAAATAAATAGTCCGTGAATATTAATAAATAATGTGAGAAACTACAACTGATTATCGTGTAGTAAGAACATTACCGAATTTTTTTATCTCATGTAATGTACTTACAAAAAAGTAAAAATGGAAAGAAATAAGAATTATGAAAAGCAACGTAACAATGTTAATTTTGACAAAAGAGTTTGTATAAGTTAAATGTCAAATTTGACACAAATTATGTAGAAATAAAATTTAAAAAAACAGTTCTCATTTCAATGTGCTTTAATTACTTATTAATAAAATCTCCAAAATCTACACCTAAACATAAATAAACCACTGTAATCATAGCTTGGCAATATTTTACTTCTCGATAAAGTATACCTTTTCTATTATTAATCAAAATGATTAATTTTCGTTTTTTTTATGTTAATAAATAAAAAAAGTTATTGAAAAGGAAGAACAAAGAAAGTCAGGCTGAGTAAATAATACACAAAGTTTCGTAGGCCCTTTTTATATTCATAAATCTTAATAATTTGAAATGATTTTTAGAGCTGAACAACATTTTATCACACATTAAAAATAACATGTTAGAATTATCACAGTAAATAACAGTTTAAAAATCACAAAATTGCCAGCAGTACTTCGTCCTACCACTTTACATTTCATGATATAAAATTTAAAAAAAACAGTGACTACAACATAGAAATATTAGATAATTAACCGTGCCATATAACTGACGAAAAAACTAAATAATATTTTACTAAACGCTAAGAATTCATGGAGTATGTATATGAATAACCTTCGTCACGATAACTCACTCTACGTTAAGTAGGTAATAATAAAACATTACAAAATTTAGAAGATTCTCCTTTTTACTAATCATTCTCCGTTAATAAGCACGGTATAAAACTCGTACCTATAAAATTAACAAACAGGAACTCAGGGGCAAATGATTATTAATAGGACATAACATAGACATAATACTTACTTTTTTAATAAATAAAAAAAACAATAAATCTGATCATTAACAGGGATAACAGTTTTATGTCAGTATTAAGTCGAAGCAAGTAATAATAATATCATACATATCATATATGCTTTGCTATAAAATAACATTCTTTCAATTAACTACAAACGATATAATTTTCTAATTTGCTTGCTAAAATAGTTCACCTCTCTGTTTTTTTAATAAAATCCTAACATAACATCATAAACCTAAAATAAAGAGAATTAAGAATTCCTCTTAATTCTCATATAAAGAACATTATGGGTTAATAATCAAATAATGCTATACTACGGTAATAGACTGTAAAGTCATACCAGTTGCATTAAATAACAGTGAAGACTTCATACTTTGGTACTGTCAAATTATCTACTTTTGTATTTGGTAAAACTATTAAACATAATAAAAATAATAACGCATATAATTCCAACTTCAATGTCTTATTTAATTAATAAATATTTAAATGATTCATCAATAAATAAATTAATTGTCAAAGGCTAGCTTCTGGTTATTTGATAATACGAGTGCCTTGTATTTTTTCCCGCCGTAGATGGCCCGAGGTACGTCGGGGTACCAGGGATTTCCTTTCTAGGGTACACCTGGTACGGGCATGCCGTCATCGCGGCAGTAAGACCTGTTATGGAGGATTAACTCGAGATGCATCACGGGACCCTCTCATACCGACTGACAGGTGATCACTGAGAAAGGATGTTTCCTCCGCCAGGCTCGGGAACGGGCCAGGTACCGCAGACGACTTAGGCGCCGGAGGTCACAGAACGACCTCCGTCCTCCATAAGCGCAGGCCTGGGGGTGACAGGTGAGGCCATCTGTCACCCGAGCAGAAGCAGGCCGGGGTGGCGGCGAGCGCGTTACGAAGCGCGCGCGCCCTTCCGGGAGCACAGAGGGAACATGGGGGTTCCCGCACGGGGTGGTCGTGTACCCGCCGTAGATGGCCCGAGGTACGTCGGGGCACCAGGGTACATCTGGTTCCCCGACTACTGGTACCTGAGACGGCGTGGGGTTTTAGTCGGTTCGAGTCCGACATTGCCACCGGTAAATGGTATCCGAAGGGATTGCCGCACAGGAAGAAAAGATTCCGCGTTGTATGGAATATCGTGCATTATATTTATTATAATTTGGAAATTATAAGAGCACATTACACTCGTTGTGTTATTTAATACAATTATTATCTGTGTGAAGCTTCAATTTGTTATTGCCCCGAAATATCTAGGATTCACATACTTGTTATGATAACACTTAATAGTAATAAATAAATAGTAGCGTAAAGGTGTGTGTCCACTGTAGAGGTGAAGCTACGGTGTGGAAAAATATTGAAATGAAACAAATCAGCGATAATGAGATCTGAATTTCATATCTGAGACAAAAACTGAGAGATAAGTCTTTACTTATCTCTCAGTTTTTGTCTACGTCTTTACGTAGAGATGCATTTTTTGAAGTAGTTTTGGTAAGTAAAACTTAATTAATTTATTAACAATCATCGCAAATAGACACGTGGTTTTTTGATGATTACTAGTAATTCACTTACATTTCCTTTAACACTGGGATACCCGTTGTTTAATGAGACATGGCAAAGCTATGACAATGCTGTGATGACTGATGAATGACTGCCTTTAATTGGGCGTCTTATCCGATTCTCTAAAAAAAGCCGTAGTGTGCCCAATCTTTAAGGCGGGCGACAGAAATCGTGTCGAAAACTACCGGCCAATATCCATCTTGCCTTCTATTACAAAAATACTAGAACGTGTTATAAACGTGAGGCTTTTTGAATATTTGGAAGGTAATAGTTTGCTTTCAACTAATCAGTACGGTTTTGGAGGAGATCAATCAACTGATCTAGCCGTCAATAAACTCACCGATTATATAACATTAAACTTAGATAATGGTAAAAAATGTCTCACTATTTTTCTAGATTTAGCCAAGGCCTTTGACACGATTTCTGTTTCCATCCTATTGGACAAACTCACTTACCTAACTGGGCGACTACCATGTTTTTCGAGTAGGAAGTCATAAAAGTGGTAACCTTGAGGTATCACATGGGGTTCTGCAAGGCAGCATACTTGGCTCTACGCTTTTCCTCGTGTATATTAACGAACTTACAAGCTCATCATATCTTTCGCGGATGATACTGCAGTCTTCCTTAGCGCCAACACTTGGAATGAGGTTTATGCTGCTGCACAGGCGGGTTTTGGTGGTGTTGGGACTGGCTTGATAGAAACATCCTTAATCTTAATGTAGATAAGACGAAATATCTGCTTCAGTATAAAGGGGGGTCAAAGAAATTTTTAAAAATCACAAAATCACATCAATGTCAATCCGGCTGTAACTGCTCATGTTCCACACTGGAACGTGTACATGAAATTAAATATTTAGGCGTTATCATTGACAGCAATCTTAACTTCAAAGAACATATAAAAGTATTGTGTGGTAGAGTAAGAAAGTTGATATATTTATCTTTAAAAATCTCAGGCATGTTGCTGACGTCGGATTGCTGAAACAGATGTACTATTCATTCTGTCAGTCGCTCTTGACGTACTGCGTCTCTACTTGGGGTTGCGCCTTAAACATAATAATGAAACCGATCGACATTGCACAGCATGTGATATTAAAAGTTTGTACCTTTTAGCCAATATTCTTCCCTACTACAATGCCGTACCAGATTTCTGGAGTTCTGACTGTTCGTCAACAATTTATCCTAAGTGCTTGTCTCCTACAACATAAAAAGCTGACTCGTTTTTTCTAAAAGTAGTGGGTCATAACCCACTTTTAGAAAAAACGAGGCAAAGATATAGTTTGTCCCCGACTAGCAACTTGTAAAACAAAATTTGCCCAACGTTTCGCTAATCATTGCCTCAAACATGTTCACGGTGTACAGAAATAATATAGTACACCTACTAGAATAGTACTAGGTTACACCTACACACAATTACCCTTTTATTTTTTTTCCGTGCAGAAATCCCCTCGGATACCACCTGTCGGTGGCATGTCGGACTCGAACCGACTAAAACCGCACGCCGTCTCGGTTACTAATAGCCGGGGAACCAGGTATACCCTAGAAAGGAAGTCCCTGGTACCCCGACATACCTCGGGTCATCTACTGACGAGTAGATGACCCCCCCCCGTGTGGGAACCCCATGTTCCCTGTGCTCCCTGGAAGCGAGCGCGCTTCGCATCGCGCTCGGCGCCACCCCGGCCTGCTTCTGCTAGGGTGACAGATGGCTTCACCTGTCACCCCCAGGCCTGCGCTTATGGAGGACGGAGGTCGTTCTGCGACCTCCGGCGCCTGAGTCGCCTGCGGTACCTGGCCCGTTCCCGTGCCTGGCGGGCCGGGAGAGTCCTAAACCTCTCCAGGTCCCGCTCCGCCGTCTCCTTCGCGAGCATAACTTGCTCGCAGAAGGAGACGGCAGAGTTCCACGCACTCTCGCTCCGCACGATAGCCGCAATCAGGCTATCGAGCGAGAGAACTCCCACTCCGATGGCCGCCACGAGGTCTCGCCTCTGCTCAACCCACGCCGGGCACTCTGCCAGTGCGTGGAGAGCCGTGTCCACGGTCTGGCCATCGCAGTGGTGGCACTCAGGCGTTGGCTCCTTGCGGATCAGACACAGGTGATCCCCGAAACATCCTTTCC